AGAAGTCGTTTGAAGTGTTTGACACATTTGACCCCTGTGACCTTGAAAGTAGGTCAAGGTCATTTTCATTCTCAAACTTTGTTGGGCTCTATCCCAGGAAGCCATCAGCCAAATATGAAGATTCTATACCTTTTAGTTCTTTAGAAGAAGTCGTTTGAAGTTTTTGACATATTTGACCCCTGTGACCTTGCAAACAGGTCAAGGTCATTTTCGTTCTCAAACTTTGTAGGGCTCCTACCAATGAAGCTTTCAGCCGAATATCATGACTCTAGGCCTGTTCGTTCTTCAGAAGAAGTTGTTTAAAGGAAAAGTTGACAGACGAGGACGGACGACGGATGCCGCGCCACGGCATAAGCTCACTTGGCACTTTGTGCCAGGTGAGCTAATAAATGGGAAAACCATTAAGTTTTCAATTTATTATATTTCAAAAAATATTACGGCAAAATATTACTGCAACAACGAAGAACAGGATTTAGAAGTGTATTGTCTTGGTGCCATATTCTTATGATGTTACCTGCCAACAAAATTAAGGCTTTGTACCTTTTTGAATTTATTTTATTATTTGGTGCAATTTGCTTGCAATAATGTTACCAATTATGTAATAACATTTATTATATATGATTTATAACTTTGTGTATGTACAAAAGATATAACAGCCACTTATTCTACCGTCTGCAGTTGGAACAAAAAAACTGTGGCTTTGAATGCAGTTAATAGAAAATACTATTCTGATTGGTCAATAAAATCAATAATGGGCTTATAAGACCTAATACCTTAATAATGTACACTTAGCTAAGTAGCTATATGGATCTAATACATAGAAAGACAAGAAGTATGTCAACTTTGGCTTCTAAAGGTGACCTTAACTCTTCGGCAAATAACTTTTGAGAATGGTACACAGTATACCAACAAGCTAGTGATAGTTAATAAATGCATAACATTTTTTTTTTTTAAATATTATCATTTATTCAAGCACTGGAAACCATATATACTTTGACATCTTCATTGATCCCGCCTCAAGTAGACTGTCATCATCATCAAAGTCTTCCAAAACATCGAAGTTGCTGTAAAATAAATCAATAAATGCATTTTTTTTCTCATTACTGGTAATGCAAGTCCAATTAATTAAAACATGATTAAAGCAGATCTAGATCCAGAGACCATCTGGAGGGGTTTCCAATTGTCCTTGGTGGGGGGTGGGGGATTCAAATGGAAAAGATGGGGGGGGGGGGAGAACCTTGAGATCAAAACAGCTTATGTTTTGGTTGTTGAGGTACAAAAGATATAACAAAGAAACAACACGAATGTCACCGTAGATGAAGATGTTACAAGTGAGTAAGAATATATGCATCATTTTAACTATATCATGCTCATTTGGGAAAACTTGCTGGTTACAATGAGTACTAGTCACTTCAACCCAATCTTCAGTGAGTAATTTATTTATGATTTTTGTTTTTGTTGTTTGTTTTGATTATTTTCATTTGCCGTTAAAAAGGATAAAGTTAAATTTTGTGGCAGAATTATGTTTACAATGTAAACATCTCCATTCGTTGAGTTTGCAACAGAATCAATCCTGATCAGTAGACATGAGAAATGTACATATATACCACATACAAGAAAACTAATGCACTACACTACCGTCCAATCACTGTTATTCTCCATATCATTTAAACTTGTTTTTAAAAACAATTCTTATTACATTTGATTTATAAACTAAAATAACATACTGCACTGTCTTTATATAGCATGTATGAGGACAGTTTGCTGCAGTTCCACTTTCGCCTTTTTCATCCTCCATAATGAGGGCGTTAATTTACCATGACAACAGATGTTAACATGCAACATATTCTTAATATCAATTACATGTTTGAAGGATAAAATTCACACTGAGCAAATATGAATTGTATAAGTGAAGGATGAAAGCTTGATTGGGTAAAGTTTTCCTTGTAAATAGTAATATTTACTTTGAAAGCTGTCTATATATACCAGGGATGACAGAATTCTTAATTCATTGTTGATATAAACATACCACATGATCCTCCTAATGTTGACAGATTACAGGTTATGATAAACAAGATGATAAAAAAAATTACCACTTTCTCTTTGAATGAAGATGACAGCTATTTTAGGTACTTTTAATATTGCCAATGCCATCTATAAAATGTTACCACCCCTGTCTTTGGTCTTCAGGTTTGAAGAAGACGGCCATCTGGCACTGTACCTGATTATCCTCTTGCGTGACTTTTCAGAACTGCCTTGGCGTGGTAGCAGTCCCGTGAATTCCATCATGGCATCACACATTACTGTATATATGCCAAACACGATCAGCTTCACCTGGAAAATCTCTCACAGCCTCCTGCCAGACACCTCAGCATAACTGCAACACAATACAATATAATGACATTGCTATAAAATTCTATTAGCATGACCTTACAACGGAACACATTCTATTTCTCACACTTGCTAGCCTTTACATTTTTTTCACTGGAGAGAAATAATGTGACAAAATGGTACAAGGGTATACTACAAGGGTGAAACAATCTATGCCTATCACATTTCATGCAATATCCATTTGGATTCATTGTATAATACAGTGCCACACTTAAGGATCAATGTCCCATTGCAAGAAAACACTCAAGAATTCCACCATGGTTCTTTTTGTATAAATATCAGTTACCTCTCCTTAACTCATTCACCACTGAAGACACATTTGAACCCTTCCAATTCAAAGGTTGGAATCGTTGATTGTGAAACTTCAGGGGTGAATGAGTTAATTTCGATATTAATATAACTGTAGTGCAATGAGGCTAATCCACTTCTTTGACCAGATAGTTCAATTGGTCAGAGCAACAATATAAGGTACAATCTAAGATCTAACAGTATAAGGTAAAATCTAAGATCTAACAGTATAAGGTACAATCTAAAATCTAACAGTACAAGGTACAATCTAAGATCTAACAGTATAAGGTACAATCTAAGATCTAACAGTATTAGGTACAATCTAAGATATAACAGTATAAGGTACAATCTAAGATATAACAGTATAAGGTACAATCTAAGATCTAACAGTATTAGGTACAATCTAAGATATAACAGTATAAGGTACAATCTAAGATATAACAGTATAAGGTACAATCTAAGATATAACAGTATAAGGTACAATCTAAGATATAACAGTATAAGGTACAATCTAAGATATAACAGCATAAGGTACAATCTTAGATATAAGAGGATAAGGTACAATCTAAGATCTAACAGTATCAGGTACAATCAAAGATCTAACAGTATGAGGTACAATCCAAGATCTTACAGTATAAGGTACAATCTCATATATAACAGTATAAGGTACAATCTAAAATCTAACAGTACAAGGTACAATCTAAGATCTTACAGTATGAGGCACAATCCAAGATCTTACAGTATCAGGTACAATCAAAGATCTAACAGTATGAGGTACAACCTAAGATATAACAGGATAAGGGACAATCTAAGATATAACAGCATAAGGTACAATCTAAAATCTAACAGTACAATGTACAATCTAAGATCTAAAAGCATAAAGTATAAGGTACAATCTAAAATCTAACAGTACAATGTACAATCTAAGATCTAACAGTATGAGGTACAATCTAAGATATAACAGGATAAGGTACAATCTAAGATCTAACAGTATAAGGTACAATCAAAGATCTTACAGTATGAGGTACAATCCAAGATCTTACAGTATAAGGTACAATCTCATATATAACAGTATAAGGTACAATCTAAGATCTTACAGCATAAGGTACAATCTAAGATCTAACAGCATAAGGTACAATCCAAGATCTAAAAGCATACGGTACAATCTAAGATCTAAAAGCATAAGGTACAATCTAAGATCTAACAGCATAAGGTTCAATCTAAGATCTAACAGCATAAGGTTCAATCTAAGATCTAACAGGATATGGTACAATTGAAGATCTAACAGTATAAGTTACAATCTAAGATCTAACAGTATAAGTTACAATCTAAGATCTAAAAGCATAAGGCACAATCTAAGATATAACAGTATAAGGTACAATCTAAAATCTTACAGTATCAGGTAGAATCTAAGATATTACAGTATTAGGTACAATCTAAAATCTTACAGCATCAGGTACAATCTAAGATCCAACAGTATGAGGAACAATCAGGGATCTAACATTATAAGGTACAATCTAAGAACTAACAGCATAAGGTACAATCCAAGATCTAAAAGCATACGGTACAATCTAAGATCTAACAGCATAAGGTTCAATCTAAGATCTAACAGCATAAGGTTCAATCTAAGATCTAACAGCATAAGGTTCAATCTAAGATCTAACAGTATTAGGTACAATCTAAAATCTTAGAGTATCAGGTACAATCTAAGATATTACAGTATTAGGTACAATCTAAAATCTTACAGTATCAGGTCCAATCTAAGATATTACAGTATAAGGAACAATCTAAAATCTTACAGCATCAGGTACAATCTAAGATCTTACAGTATCAGGTACAATCTAAGATATTACAGTATAAGGTACAATCTAAAATCTTACAGTATCAGGTACAATCTAAGATCTTACAGTATAAGGTACAATCTAAGATCTAACAGTATGAGGAACAATCAGGGATCTAACAGTATAAGGTACAATCTAAGATCTAACAGTATCATGTACAATCTAAGATCTTATAGTATCAGGTACAACCTAAGATCTTA